CCCCCCCTTCGGGGGGGCTCTACTTCGTTAAAAATAACCCTACCCACCCTATGTCAGAGGTGTGGAGTGGATCTCGCTTCACGTGGAAAGTTGCAAACCTATGTGGAACAGTACAATGGTAGAAGTACATGCGTGGAGACAGTATGTTCCGCCCCCCCTTCGGGGGGGGGGGCCCACTTCGTTAAAACATAACCATACCCAAACCATGTCTGAGGTATAGAGTGGATCTCGCTTGCTCGGTCAGTCTGCGCCGCGAGAAGAATTAAGCGTGCGCGCGCGCGCGTGTGTGTGTGTGTTCAATCCGTATCGACCGTTGCGGGAGGGGGCAGGTGTGACCTTGTAAATGAAAATGATAGTTTGTTTATGATTTTAAAGGTAGCCACACAGGCATTTTAATAAAAATTACTAAGAAAAAGTATTAAAATTTTTAGTTTTCAATTTGTTATATCTCCTAAACCAATGCCGTCCCCCACTTGATTCTTGCGGGGAATTACTCAGAAAACTCTCCCCTACAACATATCTAAGTGGCGAGGAAATCGGTGAGGTGTGACCTTTTCTGCATATTTACCGTCGCCCCTGGGCTCTCCTGTTCCTTAGAAGTTAGACCGCACACAAAGACATTTCGGACTGTTGTCTTGAGAAAACTGCCAAGGTTGCATTTCAGGGCTATTTTGTGTAGCGCCGCTGAGTATTCCTGTGCCGACTCGCCTTCCTCCTGCTTGCGTTGATGCAATTTGTATACTTCTGCTATCTCGAGTGTAACTGGATCATAAAATTCTTTGAGGTTCCTTGTCAGCTCTTCATAACCGACGTCATGTGGGATTCTCGGACTTAAACGATCCGAAAGCACATCGAAAGCTGCAGCTCCCACGTAATGTAATAAGTATGGCACATGTGTTTCTTCCGTAATGCTGCAAATCTTGAATGCACCTTCAAGACGCATGGCCCATCGGGAAAAAAGTCCCGACGCCTGATCGAAAGGTTCGATCGTAAGGGTTGTAATAGGTACCTTTGCCATAGCTAATGATCCTCTCTTTCGGAACTCTCGCCGTAATTTTTAAGCGAAGAGTACTTATCCTGCGCGTTCGTTATGTAGTATAACAAACAAAACGTGCGTGGCTCGACCTTCCTTTGTACTGACGTGGATGATGCAATCCCGCGTCGATGGTTACACTAGTAACTTCGTAACCGTCCTCTGTACTGACGTGGGTGATGTAATCCCGCGTCATCGGTTACACTGGTGGATTCGTAACCGTCCTCTGTACTGACGTGGGTGATGTAATCCCGCGTCGCCGGTTACACTAGTGGATTCGTAACCGTCCTCGTCGCCAATCTGTTGTGTTCCTCGTCGCCAATGTATTATGTATGAGTGTATCACGTCTCCTTGTCTTTTGGCCAAGAGACGTATGAGGTGGATAAGTAAAGGAGGTACCGTACATACAGGGTGATTCAGAACAACCACTTGTCCTTAAAATGTCGTATTCTAAACTTAATTCTGAAATGATTTTTCCTCTTGCAAAATTTTTTCCGAAGCTTAATTTTTTAATTATAAAGAGGAAAAGATATCGAATGACGGGCCAGATACTAGAGGCAGGCAGGAGCGGCGCGGCTCACCGTCGTCGCGGGCGCTTACGGCAAGAGCGCCCGCGACGACGCTGCCATCAGCTGATCGCGACGCGCTAGTACACACACACACACACACATTCTCTCTCTTTTTCACTCGCGCTCTTACCTTGCAGAGATGATGTAGAGATGATTCGATGACTATGTGTTGCTCTAGTTTCTTGAAAAAGACGATGAGAAAGATGCATTTTCCGATGGACCGTAGCTTAGAGCAAGTTCATTGTAACTTTCACTAAATTTAAATACATTTTCACTAATACAGATCAACTCATACATTTTCACTAATAGAGATCCACACTGAATAATTAATCGGAAATATTTTTTATGTTACTATTTTATTTACTTCACAAAAGAGACGCACACAACACACAACACATAACTTATTAAGGTTGCAGTCGACTTGACGCTACAAATGTTTCGAAGCGTTTTTCTTTTCG